AAAAAAAAAAAAAAAAAAAAAGATTTGCATTCAGAGGACAAAAGGTCAGCTTCCAGAAGGCAGTCAGCAAACCAAATTGTCCTTTTGAGACAGAGCTAAAATGGCTTCTAAAACTCACAATGATGGTATCCTGGGCTTATGATAAAAAAATTATTAACCTTTGCACTTGGAGACATCTTGCAGATCACCGCACTTTAACAAAATAGTGAACAATGAATCATTTCATATTAAATAGTATAGCATAGGAACCAATCATTTTATTGTAATGATATTTGGCTTATAATGAAATTGTAGATATTGAGGAACTTATTTATAAAAAAAAAAATAAAAATTTTATATCTTTTTTTTTTTTTTGAGTTGGAGTCTCACTCCATTGCCCAGGCTGGAGTGCAGTGGCACATTCACAGCCACCCCAGAGTCAACCTGCTGGGCTCCAGGGATCCTTCTGCCTCAGCCTTCCAAGTAGCCAGAACTACAGGTATGCACTACCACACCTGGCTAATTTTTGATTTATTATCTCGCCAAGTTGCCTGGGCTGGTCTCAAACCCACAGGCTCAGGCAATCCACTCACCTCGGCCTCCCAAAGTGCTGGGATTACACGCTGAGCCCCTAAGCCTTGGCCATCTTTTTTTTTATTTTTATTTTTTGAGTCAGAGTCTTACTTTGTCTCCTAGGCGGGAGTACAGTGGCACTATCATGGCCACTGCAGCCTTGACCTGCTGGGCTCAGACGATCTTTCCACCTCAGTCTTCCAAGTAGCTGGAACAGGCCCATGCCACCAAACCTGGCTAACTTTTTTTATTTATTGTAGAGATGAGGTCTCGTCAAGTTGCCCAGGCTGGTCTCGAACCCCTGGACTCAGGCCATCCTCTCGCCTCTGCCTCCCAAAATGCTGAGATTACAGGTGTGAGCTTATGCAGCTGAAAATTTTATATCTTATATTTTTCTAATGTGTGGTAATGTGTGACAGTCACCAACGTGCAGTGCAGTTTCATTGATACATGTTGTGCAATAGAAATTTGTTTGATATCTTCCACCTGGTGTTTTTCTATTCAAGCAGACAATGCAGTCTCATTTTACTCCTCCCACACTAATAATATGTAATTTATTGTCGTCTTTTGTTCAAAGAAGATGTGGAAGGATGTACTCGTGATTCCTGAAAATCACTTCTCAACTGATCAATCATATCTCAGTATATATTCCAACTCTTTGTTTTTATTGTGCAATTTGAATGGAAAACTTCAAGGAAATTTATATTTTTGAAAACTTTGTGCTGGCATAAGTTTGTACTGTATAATCATCAGTAATCTCTGTCCCCAAAGGGGACATCCAAGTGGTTTGCTAGATTTACCCCCTTCAGAGGGGACATCTGAGTGAGAAGGGTTAAGTTGAGCAGGCTCGTTAAAGGCTTTTCCTACTTTAGTTCAATATGTACGGTACCCCACCCCCATCCAAGGACTGGGTGACATCATAACCCTTGGTGACCTGGAAGTAGAGACAGCATCCCCAGCTCAACCGGGAGACACAGTCCTCCCTCATTCTAAAGTTGAGTCAGTTCAACTTGTTCCAGCTGCAACTGCTTCTCCACAGCACATGCCCCACTCCCAGTCTGCTGCATTAGCTTACAGCCTACCAGGAGACAAGAACGTCACTTGGCAAGGAGAGAGAGACCTGGCTCCTGAGGACAATCAAGAAGGAACTCTATTGTTTCATGGGTATAAAGTTTCAGATCTGCAGGATGAGGTTCTGGGGATCTGTTATACAATAGTGTGAATATACTTAATACTACTTAACCGTACACAGAAAAAAGGACAAGATGGTGAAAATTAAAGAAACAAAAAAGAAATTCAGATCTCACAGGCAAGACCAGAAATGGAGAATTTGAGCCCTGCCAACATTTCAGACAAGTTATTTACCCTGTCTCCCTAGATACAAAAATAGGAATAGAAATACTCATTACCCCAATATAGTAAGGACAATTAATAATGGAGGTCTTCCAGCTCCCTTGGATGACAGCACGGAAGTATGATAACTCCAATTTATTTTACTTGAAAAAGTCATAGGCTTTTTCATAAACCTATCTTGCTTGAGTACATATGAGAATAGCTAACATATAGTGACTGAGGATTATGTGCTGGACATTTTACATACATCGATGTCATGAATCCTTACAACAATTCCATGAAGTTAGTAATATTGGTATCTCCAATTTACAGGTGAAGAAACTGAGGAAGAGGTTAAGTCACGGATCCAAAGTCACTATTAAGCTGTACGACGTGGATTTGAACCCAGAGCTCACACTGCTGGGGAGAACTATCTACAAGGAAGGTAGATTGCAATCCTACCTTGTTCACATCTCCTATTAACCACAAGACTATAAGCTTCTTGGCTCATTCACTGCCACATCCCCAGAGTGTGCTGTATTTGATTCATAATAAATATCTGTTGCATGAATGAACTATTAACCCTAGGGCGTCTTGTTTTTGTTTGAGGGTATGGTGATAGCAATGTGTAGCCCAACCCACAGTTAAAATATATTGGGAATACAAAGATTCCAAGTAACTCACTAATTCCCTTCCAGACCCACTAGCCTCCTATGAAGGCAGGCTCCTGTGGGCATCATCCCCTCTAACCCTGTACTGCCAAAGGCATGTCTGCCAATCCGATGTGGTTGAGAAGAACCAAAAGTCATTACATAAGGTTCCTCCTCCTCCTTTCTCTCTCCTAGTTAAAAACAGCACCCTTACCCCAGCTGGCAGGCCTCACACCACAGTCACTCCTCAGCCTTCTCTCTCCTGCTCCTGCCTCAGCCAACTGGTCACCAAGTCTCATTGTTGCACATGCTGCATTTATGTGTGGTCACCTCCACCATCTCAGTCCCTCAATCTCATCTGGCCAGATCTTCTACCTGGAGTTATCTTTTACCAATTGATTCACTGCACCGCCACTGGCATGCTCCCCCAAGTCATTTCCCTGCTTACACAGCTGTGATGATCCCCCCACAATCAGATAGTCCAATCTGCTGCACTGGGATTCATTGTCCTTCCAGACCTGGTCCAGCTTCAACTCCAACCACTTGTCTTACGGCAGCGCCATCCTAGCCACACCAGACTCAAGTTTCCAGACTACAAAATGCAGTCTCTACTTCCAGGCATTTGCTTATTCTTGTCCCACTGCCTGGCAAGCTTCTACTGCTCATTTGAGGCAGACCTCAAATGCCCTCTTTCCTTCAGCCACCTGTGATCCTCACAACACCCTACCTAAGGCAGAGCTGTCTTCATCCCTGTCTCCACAGCTCCTTACACAACTCTCTAGTAGAGAGCTACTCACATTGGAATTACTTTCCGTTGATCTAATCATTAGACTGAGTTCCTTGATGAACCACAATGTTCATCTCTAATCTCAGCACCTACCCTAATGCCAGGGTCATACAAGGTCCTCTGGTAACATAACCATCATGTTCCAGCAGGACTTCTTGATGACAATGGCATCAAGAGTAAATAGAGCTAACATACCCCTCACTGAGTACCATTCCAAATGCTGTGTGTGTACTGTTTCATTTAATCCTGACAATATGAAGAGGTAGGTACCATTATTTCCATTTTACAGGTGAGGAAATGGAGACCTGGAAAGGGTTGGTGACTTACTCTAAGTCCCACAGCTACTCGAAGCAGTGCCAGGGTGTGAACCAAGGCACTGTAAGTCTGCAGTCAGCACACTAGGTTTGCTTTATAAACTGTTTTAACACAATAGTTATGTTTTGAGGACTGTGATCTGACCCACAATATAAGGGGATCCACTGAAAAATGAGTCAGCTTAGAACTGAACTCTAGTGGTTTTAACCAATGTCTTTTATAAAATTTTCACATGTAAAATGTCCTACGAAATAAAATGGTGATAGCAATTCTGTTCCGGTGGAGCTTGAAACTCAAGGCCTCTTTTTTTTCTCAACAAGAGAACCCACTTCTGTTAATATATCTGTACTTCCTCAGTGACTATTTACATGAACAATCACTCATAGTGTGCGACAGCCTCAAATTCCTGGGCTCAAGTGATGCTCCTACCTCAGCCTATCCATTAGCTGGGACTACAGGCACATGCCACCATGCCCAGATCTCCATTGATTTCTAATGTTTAAAGGAAGACTCTGGTCCCCAAAAGGAAAGTTCTCCGTTTCCTGGTCTTCCTGTCAGAAAAAATATGAAATCTATAGAACAAAGGCCTACGTACCTGAGGCTTCTTAATGCATCTGTGAGGTAGGGATGGGAGAGAGCAGGAGTGTCTACAGAAGGCACCTTTATCTTTTCTCTCGGAACTGGGGAGGAGGGAAAAGGAGAGGATCCTAAATAATCCCCCCCAGTTTGCTTTGGAGAAAGACCAGGCCCTTTTCCAGCTGCTTCTCCCGGGCCTCAGGATCTTCTAGCTTCTGATTTTTCCGGAACTCACGGCGGATGAAGGCAAAGTAGAAGTCTCGATCAGTGTAGCGAAGTTCTCGACCCTGGCGCAAGAGAGTCCGGTAAAGACTCAGCACCGCCTCTCGGCTCCACGGGGCCATGGGGGATTGGCAGGGGCTTGGTGTCACGCTATAAAACAGAAGGGAAGACACAGAAGCATAGTATCAAAGTTAATAACAAAGGAGCCTGTAGAGACTATGTAGGTCAGGGGTTCTTGGTCCTAGTTTCAGAGACTCCCCCAAGGTCACACTATGACTTAGTGGCAGGTCTAGAACTAGAACCCAGGCTCCTTTTCCCCTGCTGGGAAAGTACAGGTTATGATTCACAAGGGATCAGATGATGGCTTCTTGGATTTGAATGCTGGCCCTGCCACTTACTTGCCATATGACTTTGGGAAAAGTCCTTAACCCGTCTTAGCATCAGCTTCCTCATTTATAAAATGGAGATAATAATATGGTAACAATACCTAATAATACCAATAATAACAGGATTATTTTGAGAACTGCCCATGTAAAGTGCCTGTCATAGCCGTCCACAGTGGTTGAAGACAAGCACTCAGCCATACTTGGATCCTGGCCCACCACTTATGAGCTGCATTACTGCAGCCAGTTTCCTGACCTGTGATTGCCTCAGTTCCTTATCTGTACAGTGAGGATAAAATTCATATTGTGGCCAGGTGCGGTGGCTCAGCCCGTAACACCAGCACTTTGGGAGGCCAAGGCGAGAGGATTGCCTGAGCCTGGGGATTTGAGACCAGGCTGGGCAACTTGATGAGACCTCATCTCAACAAATAAATCAAAAAAATAAGCCAGGCGTGGTAGCACATGCCTATAGTTCCAGCTACTTGGAAGGCTGAGGTGGAAGGATCCCTAAGCTCAGCCACTCTAGGCTGTGGTGGCCTTGAGCATGCCACTGCACTCCAGCCTGGGCAGCAGAGTAAGACTCCAATTCAAAAAAAGACAAACACAAAAAAATTCATATTGTGCTCATATGGTTGGTATAAGCATTAAATGAGTTAGTGTATGTGAACATGTTTAGAACAGCACTTGCCCTCTACTAAGCACTCTATCAAGGACAGCTATTATTAATGTCACCTAGCCAGGTTCGTAAATGCTCACTAGATATTACATTTAATTATACATAAACTGCCACCACCTTCCTTCAGTAACAATAAACCCCTTTGCAAGCACAGAGTGTTATCATTTGTAAAGCACTCAGTTATCCATTATCCCATTTAAACTAAGGCCTGTGAGATGGTCTGGGTTCATAACACTAATAGTTAATGCTCACTGAGGGCTCACACCTTGCATGTTCTAAGCATGTTCCATATACCAACGTACCTCATTCTGTCAACAACCCCAGGGTCATCACGATCCCATTTTAAGTGAAGGAAACAATCTCCCAGAGGGAAGTAACTTGGCCACAGGAGCACAACTGTAAAGGAGAGGACTCACTCTTCACCCCAACTCCGCCTGCCTCTGGAATGAGAGTTACACTGACTGGGGCAGCACGTGAGGGTGCTCCAAAAACTCTCTCAGCCAGGAGCTCAAAAATAAGTTGAACGTAAAGAGGGAATTTTCACAACGGCCGTGTGTGGAAGAAATCGTTACCCCTGTTTCAAAAATAAAGAAATGAGACCGAGTAGGGCAGGTAGGTGTGTGACGGGAAAACGAGATCTGGACTTTGGGCCCAAAGTCAACAGCCACTGGTCTCCGGCCTTGCTAACTTCCTGCGCGAGCCTCAGCAAGCTCGTGTCCCTGTCCCTTTTCCCTCGACTTCCCTAAGAGCCTCTCGTAGTGGGAGAGATGCAGATCAACAGAGACGTGCTTGGTAAGGTAGAAGGCGGCTGTCACGGCGAAGGCTGCTACTACAAGGTCGCTGAGCGAATGGGGAGCTGAGCCCCCGGCAGTCCACACTTCGGCCCCCGACCCTGGGGGCCCGGGCCAAGCCAGGGTGCGGAGACGCGGAGGCTGAGGCAGGCCGGCCCGGGGACCAGAGAGGACTTCGGAGGCTGGGGCGGAGACGCCGAGAGGACTCCCAAGGGAAAGTCCAGGTGGGCTGGGGCGAGATCGGAGCGGCAGGCCGGTAGCCTGGGCCCGGGCCGGAGAGGGGGCGCCGGCAGCAGCCCGGAGAGGAGACGCGGCGAGCTCCCGGCCTCCTGGCCGCCGCCGGCCCTCGCTCCTTCCCTCACTCACCCGCAGGCCGCGCGCGCTACCACTCCTCGGGACCCGCTTTTCGCCTGGTGCCTCTCTCGGGGTCACCCATCAACATGGCCCCTTCACTTCCGGGACACGACCTCGCGCACGGAGCTGCGGAGGGGCTGGAGGGAGCACGAGGGCGGGCGGAGGCGGAGCGACTTCCGGTCTTCTCCGGGCTCTCTCAGGGTGGGCCCCGCCCCCTCGCCAGGGCTCCACCCCACAATCCTGAGCTCCGCCCGAATTCGTGACGTCACCTGGGGCGGGCCTGCCAAGGCCATCAGCGACAAGTCCCTGGAGGGCCGCAATGCTGTGGTCTGCCTGGTGTCACCGCGGGGGTCCTGAGCTGGCAGCGAATGAGACGGCAGGAGGTGGTCTCGCCCTCCGACGAGACCGCCGCGCCGGGTCGGCTCTTGCCTGCTGCCAGCCCCGTAGCCAGTCAGTTCCCTCCATGCTGTTCCCTCCCTCCAGGCCCCTTGACTTCTTGCAGTCTCCTACCCTTCCTTCAAGGTCTACCTCAAAAGTCCCGTCGGAAGTCCGCTCTCCTCCCTTCCTGGCCCCGCCTCCCATACACTTAGGCGCCTTCTTTGGCCCCCACAGACATGTCAACACACCGCTATGGCTCTTAACCCGTTCAACAACACAACGTCTTCACTGGCGCCTGTTATTTGCCAGGCTCTGTTCTTTAATGCATCCATTTGCAACTCTCACTAGATTTGAGGATAGAGGTCGTGTCTCTATGGGATCGACAAGCCTCCGCCCCCGAGCGCCCCCCTCAGTGCCTGGCTCAGTCAAGCCCAGGGCCTGGGGCTTTGAAGTCAGACCTCACTCCCTCCTAGTCCAGCCTCGTCACTTAGGGACAGGTGCACTCTCGCACGTTTCCTAACCTCTCTCAGCCTTGGGGCTGGTTATAGCTGCAGGAGGGGAGCGAGCATTTACAGAGTAGTTGCCCATCGTCCATTTATTCATTCTTCATGCAACAATTTCTGATTGAGAGCCTATAATGTCCAAGGCACCGCCATAGGTGCTGCCAGGAACAGACAAGTGAGTGCTTGTCTCCTTCTGAGGGCTGGTAGAGGAGATGGGAGCCAGGAGGAATACATGGGAGGATGGAGTGAAGGTGGGAGGGAGGGGTAGCTTTTTTATGTGGAGTGGTACAGAAAGGCCCATCAAGGGGACAAGGACCAGGGGGGAGCACATTCCAGAGAAGAACATTCCAGTTCTGCCCTCAGGTGGGCCCTTAAGCTTGGCGTGTTCTAGGGAGGAAACCAGTGCTTCTGCAACAGAGTGAGCAGGAGCTGAGGAAGAGGCTGGAGGTGAGGTCCTTATTAGGGTAAGGAAAGAGATGGTGGGTGTAAAGGAGCCACAGCAGGGTGTGAAGCACAGAAATGATGGGACCTGACTTCCTTTTTAACAGAATCAGCCTAACTTGAGAGAGGAACAGCTAACTGGAGGGAACAGCTGAAGCAGGGATGCTAGTCAGAAGGCTAAACTGGGAGCAGTGGCTCAAGCCTGTAATCCCAACACTTTGGGAGGCCGGGGTGGGAGGATTGCTTGAGCCCAGAGGTTCGAGACCAGCCTGGGCAACAAAATGAGACCTTGTCTCTACAAAAAAATCAAAAAAAATAGCCAGGCATGGTGGTACATGCCTATAGTCCCAGCTACTCGGGAGGCTGAGGCAGAGGGATCATCTGAGCCCAGGAGGTCGAGGCTGTGGTGAGCCATGATTGTGCCACTGTACCCCAGCTTGGATGATAGAATAAGACCCCCAACTCAAAAGATAATAATAATAACAAGCCAGGTCCAGTGGTTCACGCCTGTAATCCCAGCACTTTGGGAGGTGGAGGCAAGAGTATTGCCTGATCCCACAAGTTTGAGATGAGCCTGGGCAACATGGCAAAACCTTGTCTCTACAATAAACCAAAAAATTAACCAGGCATGGTGGCACATGACTGTAGTACCAGCTACTGTGTGCCACTGCACTCCAACCTGGGCGACAGAGTGGGACTCCAAAAAAAAAAAAAAGAAGAAGGCTATCACACAACCCCAGGAGAGGGACGATATGGGCTCAGAGAGGTGATGGTGCAGGAGTGGAAGGTCAGATCCTGGATGTATTTGGAGGCAGAACTAGCAGGATTTGCTGATGTGGAGGCCACCATGGCTTCAGGCATCTGCCTATTTAGTTTTCCAAATTTCTAGAAAAAGGCTGCTTTCTAGGGCCTGAGGTTTCCACTCAGTGGAGTGAGGGGTGATAAGATATTGGGAAGACTGGGAACTTCTGGGGTCTCTAAGAGAGAGAGGGACCCAATGGGAGCCTTAAAAAGTCTCAAGACTTAGGGGCGGTCATGGATGTGGACTCTGACCTTAGGAATAGTTGCCCCAGGGTTGGCTTGGCGTAGGGATTCAAGGACAAGTTCAGCAATTGTCTCCCACCATCACACTGAGGCAGCACTAAAACTTGGAGCTGCCTTTACTAAGCACCCCCTGTGTGCCAGCCACTGGACTTGGTACTTTACAGACATAGTATATCTAATCCCATCCCTGTTTGGTATCCCAATTTTCTTTGTTTTTTTTTTGAGTTGGAGTCTCACTCTGTTGCCCAGACTGGAGTGCAGTGGCCGCTCCCGGCCACCGCAGCCTCGACCTGCTGGGCTCCAGTGATCCTTTGGCCTCAGCCTTCCAAGTAGCCGGAATTACAGGCGCGCGCTACCACGCCCAGCTGATTTTTGATTTACTGTAGAGATGAGGTCTCACCAAGTTGCCCAGGCGGGTCTCGAACCCGCGGGCTCAGGCAATCCACTCACCTCAGCCTCCCAAAGCGCGGGATTACAGGCTGAGCCACCGAGCTCGGCTGGTATCCCAATTTTCTAGATGAGAAAACCATGGCTCAGGGAAGTTTAGTCATCTCTCTAAGACACTGAGCTAAGCAATAGAGAAGCTCACAGTGGAACTGACTCTGTCTTACTCTGAAACATGTTTTCTTTCCACTCTTACTGGCTGTCCTACTTGAGTTTTTGAAGAAATAATTTTGTGACCCAAATTTAATTGGTAACAGTGCCAGCTGAAAGGCCAGGTGATGTTTGCATGTCTCTCCTGAACTTCCTTCTGTAGGATATTATTGTTAGGAGGCAGGTGGAAGGAGATCCTTGGAGGGGTGTGCCCTTCAGATCAGCTCCCCTAGACTCCTTGTGCTCTTCAGGGTCTTCTCTTTACTCAGACTCTCAAGGTCCTCCCTGACCCCAGTGCTCCTGTGGCAGAGAAAGGTGTGCAGGGAGGTGGCATCTGGCACCCAAATGTATTCATGGTATCTTCGTAGGCCAAAGACCCACGGCAAGGGGCACTGACCCAAATCTTAAGACTTTGCCAGGTCTCACAGGACAAGAGGCATTCTGGGATCTCTCGGGTTGATACTGCGGGTTTGCCATAACCCCCTGATCTCACAGCTGGATGATGGCAGTAGTCTCCTATAGGGATTGGGCGTGGCTAGAAGATAAGAGAGGAATACGTGTTCACCAAGGACAGACTCACACGTGGTAGGCATTTAATTGTTGCCTGAATGAATGGATAGTTTCCAGAAAGAGAAGAGATGGGCCATCTCACCTGGTTCAGGGTAGTTCAAGCTGTTTAATTTGAACGGGGCAGGTAAGCCAGGCACAGTGGCTCATGCCTGTAATCCCAGTACTTTGGGAGGTGGACACAAGAGGATTACTTCAGTTCAGGGGTTTGAGACCAACCTGAGCAACATGGCGAGACTTTGTCTCTACAATAAATCAAAAAATTAGCCAAGCATGATGGCATATTCCTGTAGTTCCAGCTACTTGGAAGACTGAGGCAGAAAGATCGCCTGAACCCAGCAGGTTGAGGCTGCAGTGGCCATGAGCATGCCACTGCACTCCAGCCTGGGCGACAGAGTGAGACTCTGTCTCAAAAAAAAAAGAAAAAGAAAGGTGGCTAGGCTCGGCGGCTCAACCTGTAATCCCAGCGCCTTGGGAGGCTGAGGTGAGTGGATTGCCTGAGCCCGTGGGTTCGAAACCCGCCCGGGCAACTTGTCGAGACCTCATCTCTACAATAAATCAAAAAAATTAGCCAGGTTTGGTAGCCCACGCCTGTAGTTCCAGCTACTCGGAAGGCTGAGGTGGAAGGATTACTGGAGCCCAGCGGGTCGAGACTGCGGTGGTGGGGAGCATGCCACTGCACTCCAGTCTGGGTGACGGAGTGAGACTCCAACTCAAAATTTAGAAAAAAAAAAGAAAAAGAAAAAGAAAGGGGCAGATGGTTGGTGGTGAGCCCAGGGAAGGTGAGTCAGGCTAGGGTGCCTTGGTTTCCTCATCTGCGAGTTGGAAATGTTGCTGAAAGGACCAGTTCATCAGCTGCTGAGGATTAAATGAGAAAGGGCATGTCTGATATGGTAGCTCACAGTGAATGGGGCTTGTTTTGTTACAAAATGTTGGCGTTCTTTTTCATGTGTGGATGGGTGCATGGAACATTGACCCACAAGTAGACTTTGGAAACCCAGGTCACCGGTTCCAGGACAGGACTTCAGGGGAGTCTCGAGCTGTGGTTCCCCTGGCCCTGGAGGTCCTTGGTGGTCAAGGATCTGGGCCTCAGGGGACTGAGGCAGGATGCTGGGACAAAAGCAAACAAAATATTTTTGCTGACATGAGAACCAACACTGTTGTTTCCAGTTTATTAACCAAATAGTCAGCCGGTCAGCATTTACTGAGCACCCAGTAGGAACTAGGACTAGAGGAAGGAATGTAGATGTAACATGTGCTGTTCCTATCCTTCCCAAGGTTAGGGTTGAGGGGGAAGATAGAAAAATACACAGACAGTGCTGGGAGAAAAGCCCTCGTGGTGCTGTGGGGACTCAGAAGAGCCTTTGATTAGCCTAGAAGCAGGGAGTGGACCCCAACTGACTGGAGCACAGAACGGGAAGATAAGGGGTAAGGCATGGGGCCGGGCAGAAGAGCAGCCTGGGCCTCAGATACACCTGCCTGGCCTGAGGTTGCCCAGAGAGGAAGTGATAGCCAGGAAGGTGTGCAACAGGCTGTGCCACCTGCACATGGGTTTGCAGTCAGCTATGGCTTTGAATTCTGCCACCTGACAGCTAGGCAACTTCATCATCTCTGGCACTCAGTTTCCACACACAAAATGGGAATTAACGAAAGTACCTAAGTAATAAGAACTTGAAATTTACTTATATTAACTAAGATGGAGGGAGAGAAAAGCAAGTCAAATGGATCCTT